CAGAGGGGGAACCGGTTGCACTAGCTATCTGAGGTGGTACAAGTTTAAATGTTGGAGGTTCTTTTAAAAAGGGTGATTCACAGAAGAGAGTGGATGACAAAGACAAGATTTGGTACACTCACTATTAGAAGTCTAGGCACACTAGAGACACATTTTGGGATCTTCATGGCTAGCCTAAATGGGTTCAGGAATTGAGTAAGAAATCTGATCCGAGTAAGAAGCCAACCTAGTAGAGTCAGAAGAAATATAACTCAGCAAATGTGGCATCCCAAGAGACTAGTCCCATGGTACCCTAGGAGCGACACTCTGGTTTTGACTCCAAGGAAGAGATCATCACCTGATCATTTGGAATTATATGGTAGAACACTTCGCTAGATGGATTCTGGCCCTACTCCTACCTCCTTTGCGTCTACATCAGGTAACACCACCACTGCTTTCTATTTGTCATCTCATACATTTTATTCCCCTTGGATAATTGACTCTGGAGCCTCAGACCACATGATTGGTAAGTCAAATTTATTTCAGGCATATAACCTCCTCTCTGGGGGAGATAAGGGAAGGAACCATCTCCCTTCCTCTTGGTCTTTCCCTCTCTAAGTTGCATGTTCCTAATTTACCTATCAATTTACTTTCTATTAGCAGTATTACTCACTCATTGAATTGTTTAGTGACCTTTCCTTCTTCGTGTGTGTTTCGGGATTTGACCTCGAGGAAGACGATTGGTAGAGGAAGCATGGTGTATGGTCTCTACGTGTTGGAGAATAAAGCCGATCTTGTGGCTACAAAGTCCTTAAGTTCATCTAGTGAGAGTCATGCCTATTTGTGGCATAATCGTCTTAGTCACCTTTTGTTTGAGTCTTTAAAACTTATGTTTCCCGAGTTATTTAAGTTTCTGCCAGTTAGTGAGTTGCAGCGTCAGACGTGTCAATTGAGTGAACATTGTAGAAATTCTTTTCCTTTAAGAAATAAAAGATCTGAATTTCCTTTTGATATTGTCTATTCTGATGTTTGGAGCCCTGTTACTCTACCTACTGAGACTGGATATAAGTATTTCATTACTTTGATTGATGACTACTCTAGATATACTTGGGTTTATCCTATGCGATTTAGAGATGAAGTGCCAAAGATTGTGCATATGTTCTACTTGGGTAATGCAAAAGAGTACTTCCATAGTGATCTCACGGAGTTCTTTGCTTYGTGTGGATCCCTTCATCGAAGCTCTTGTGGTCGGACACCCCAACAAAATGGTATTGCTGAAAGAAAAAATCTTCTCGAAGTAGCTTGTGGTTTATTACTTCATATGAATGTTCCGAAACGCTTTTGGATGGGTGTTGTTATGTGTTGCATATATCTTCAACCATATGCCATCTCGGTTACTAGAGTATAAGGCCCCACATCAACTTTTGTTTCCGCTGTCCATTCCAATGTGTGTCTTTGGGTGTCGGTGCTTCGTTCATGACTCGCCCCCTACTTGCGGTAAACTCGATCCTTGTGCCATTCCTTGTGTTTTTCTTGGTTACCCTTTATCTCAAAAGGGTTACCGTTGCTATGACCCTGCTTCACGCAAGTACTATGTCTCCATGGATGTATCATTCTTTGAAAGTCAACATTTTTTTCTTGGTTTCTCTTCAGGGGGAGAGTATGGTTGAGGAGAAACAAACTCAGGTTCAATTACCTCCTCTTCCTGATCCTCCTCCATTTTGTGTCTTTCTTCGCCGTCATAAGAGCCAGTAGAGTTCAAGAGCCATGGAACCTGAAACTATTGCAACCAACATCATCGGATTCTCTCCAGAGGTAGATCCTCCTCATTAGCCAGTTACACTTGTTCCCATTGATATGTTTGAACCTCTTAATATTGATCCCCTTGTTATTAATGATCTTGATGTTCCTATTGCTAAGAGAAAGGGTGTTAGATCTTGTACTACTAATCATTTTATCTCTCACTTTGTGTCCTATGATCATATTTCACCTTCATATCGTGCATTCATTTCCTCTATTGGTAAGAATGTGACAAAAGCTTTATCCAAACATGAATGAATAGATGCAATGAAGGAAGAAATTAATGCCTTACACAAAATTGACACCTGGGAGTTGGTGGATCTTCCTGAAGAGAAGGAATAAGTGGGATGCAAGTGGGTATTTACAATAAAGCATAGGGTTGATGGTTCGGTGGAAATGACAAAGCTAGATTGGTGGCCAAAGGGTTTACACAAGTGTATGGAGTAGACTATGCAGAGACCTTTGCTCTAGTAGCCAAGATGAATTTGATCAGAATCCTTCTTTCACTGGCAGCTAATCTTAACTGGGAATTTCACCAGTTGGATATTAAAAATGCATTCTTGAATGGTGGTGACCTAGATGAGGAGGTTTACATGACTCAACCTCCAGGTTTCTGTGCCAAAGGTAGTGAGAAAAATGTGTGCAGGTTAAAAAAATCATTATATGGGTTGAAACAATCACCTCAGGCCTGGTTTAGTAAGTTTCATTAGTTGTACAACAGATGGGATTCAAACAATGCCAGTCAGATCATACTCTGTTTGTGAAGAAGGGTGAAGGGAAAATTGCAGCTTTAATTGTGTATGTTGATGATATAGTAGTCACAGGAGATTGTAAGACTGAAATACAGAAGCTGAAGAAATTCCTAGCCACTCAATTTGAGGTGAAAGATCTAGCCCCTTAAATTATTTCCTGGGGATTGAAGTTGCCCGCTCCCAAAAGGGCATCTTTATTTCCCAAAGGAAATATATACTAGATCTATTAGAGGATACATGCAAGTTAGGAGTGAAACCAATTGATTCACCCATTGAACCCAACCATCAGCTAGGAGATAGTCAGAGGGAGTTTTTGAAAGATGTGAAGAAGTTCCAGAGACTTGTAGGGAGACTCTTATATTTGTCTATAACCAGACCTGATATTGCCCATGCAGTGGGTGTCCTTAGTCAGTTCATGCATAATTCTAAGACAACTCACTTTGAAGCTGCAGAAAGGATCCTTAGATAACTCAAGAAGTTCCTAGGAGTTGGTTTGGTATTCTAGAAACATGGGCATTTGAAGGTGGAGGTGTATACAAATGCTGATTGGGCAGGAGCAGTCGATGACAGAAAATCTACCAGTGGGTATTGTATCTTTGTGGGGGGAAACTTGGTAACATGGAGAAGTAAGAAGCAAAGTGTAGTGGCTAGATCCAGTGCTGAAGCAGAATATAGAGCTATGTCTCATGGAGTTGCTGAAATCATGTGGATAAAAAACTTGTTAGGAGAGCTGGGTTTTGCAGTTAACAAATCTATATCACTCTACTGTGACAACAAAGTTGCTATTAATATTGCTGCTAACCCAGTCCTCCATGATAGAACAAAACATATTGAAGTGGACAAGCATTTTATTAGAGAAAAGCTTGTGAGCAGAGAAGTGTGCACTCCATATGTCAATTCAGAAGAACAACTTGCAGACATCTTCACCAAGGGCCTTCATCATGTGCGGCATAATAATTTGTGTGACAAGTTAGGCATGATTGACATCCATGTCCCAACTTGAGGGGGAGTGTTGGAATGTTTACTTATGTTTGTATTCTGTTGAGTTAGGGTCTGTTTGGTCTAGGTAAAGTAGTTTTTTATCTTTGTTTATGTACTCTGACTTAAGTAGGGGCATAAGGGTCTTTTCTCTTTTAATTATGGTCGCCCTATATATAATAATATAAGCTAGCGCCGCCAGCAAGTTTTAGTTGACTCCAAAACATTCTCTTCTCTTCTCCCTTCTCTTCTCCCTTCTCTCCTCTCTTTCTCTTCTCCCTTCTCTCCTCTCTTTCTCTTCTCTTCTTCTTCTTCTCCTTCTTCTTCTTTATTTCTCCTCTATTCTGTTGTTAATAGAGTTAACACCCAAACAGGTGACGTAGTCAGGTACTTCCTTCACCCGAGCTTAGTCACCTTAGCTTCAGAAGTGGGGGGG